GGCAATTTATAAAAGAAAGAGGTTTAATTGGACCTCCAGCCTGGGTAACAAGAGCGAAACTCCGTCTCAAAAAAAAAAAAAAAATGAATGAACTCCAGGACCCAACAACAAGGATCGCTCACACAGTGCTGAGTGACAGAAATGACACAAAAGCACATACACAGGACGATTTCACTTACCTAACACTCAAAGGCAAACACCTGTGTTGAATAGAAATGCACACAAGGACGGCAAAATTCAAACGAAAACCGGGAAGGGGCTGAAAAGGAAGATGAGCTGGAACGGGCTCCGATCTCAGCTGCACGTCAAATTTCCCTGGGTGAGGTGGGCGGAGCTTGGACTCTACCACTATCTAGGCCACACCCCCAGAGGCTCTGCTTTCACTGTCAGGATGCTGACCTTGGGCGGCAGAGTTTTCAATGCTCTCCAGCTGTTTCTAAAGCAGACAAGTTTAGGACTCTGCTTGAAGGTGAAAGGGAAGACTGTAATGGAGAGGGGCAAACACAGGGCCCTTGGGGTGCAGGCAACAGTTTTCCTTGACAAAGATGGGAGTTTCACAGGTGTTTTATTACACATACATACGCAAGTCAGCTCTTTCCTTTCTCCACAGCATACACGTAGGTGTTCCAGGGCCCACAGGTGATGGCCTTTACTTGGAGTTGCTTATCTACGAAGTATTCCACTCGGCGGGGCCGATCCCAGCTGCTGGTGTCCCCGTGGCCCAGCTGTCCATATTTACCTACAGCGAAACCAGACCCTTTGCATCGTCTCCACTGGGTCTTGCTGCTTTCCCTCCAGGAAGGAGCCCAGACTATCCAATGAGACGCTGGGATTATGCCCCAGCGTCTGTGAATCGAGGAGACCCAGAGCCAGGTAACCCTGGGGATCCCCAAGAGGCCAGTGGCGACCAGCCACTCCAGACTTCCCTGCTACCCAAGTTACGATGTTCAGAGCACACATTTCCATTGTATCTTTTTCTCTATCCAGTGTCAGATCTGCAAAACGATGCTTTGTAGATGCTGGTTGGACACTTCCTTCAGTGTTTCAGAGAGCTAGGTGGGTGGCACCGACATCCCCTTCATGTTCCCCCTGTCTGGTCTTGGAGTATGCCTACATCTGTTCCAACCCCAGGGACGGGACGGTCCTGGTCTTCCCAGTGACCTGGTCAAGGCCCCTGCTTCCTCTAGTCTTGGTGGCTTTGTCACCTGCCCTGTACTCCCAGGTCTTTCCTCCCCTTGGTTTCAGGCTTACAAAAACAATCCTTTTACTTACCCCAGCCCCAGGTGTACAGGTCCCCTGTTCCTGAAAGCAAAAGGACAGTCAGTGGCTGGCATTTGTCCAGCCTGGCTTGGCACAGCCCACAGCTAGCACGTTGCAATCCTCATGAGAAACACCTGGTGTGAATAACATTCTCTTAACAACTGGCTGATCACATGCAGCATGGTAGAGGATCCCGAGGGCAACTCCTGTGCCAAGCTACCGAGCGCAGGCCAGACTGGGCAGGCGTGCTGTCAGAGGCGGCGGTGGGCGGGGAATGTGTCTGTGGCGGTGCACGGAGGAAAGAACATCAGCCTCCCTCCAGAAGGAAGAATCCTCTGGGCCTGACAGGCTGGGGAGCTACTGTGAAACCACACAGGGGTTGGGGCTTATCCAGTGAGCGAGGCAGCTGCTCTGTAGGAGCCACAGAAGCCTTAAGACGGAAGTTTTTCCGCTGCCCACCCCTTTCTGCAGACACCAGCTGGAGTGAGCAGAGTGCCTTCCTGCTCCATCCTGAACCACCCTCCAGTCCCTCTCACGTGTCACCACAGCCGTGTGCCTGGATCCACAGCTGGCCTTGATTGCATCTGAGCCCAGGGGGAGATCCAGTAGAGCTGGGAAGGGCTGGACAGCTATGAAGGGGGCAGGGGCTCCATCCTCAGCCCGGGCCATTCTCTTCGCCTGGGAGCCATCTGCATTCAGTCCCGTACCTTTAAAATGATAATGATGTGAACACTGAGCCCTGAGCTAAGCCTTATGCACACAGTCACTCATTACCACAACCGCTCTGAGGCACACGACTGCCTAGCTCCAAAGCTGGTGCTCTGAACCCCAACGTTCTGCAGTCAGGTCTGGCACTCCTGCACAAGTGTAGTGCCAAGGCTGGCATCAGCCTTGCCGATGCTCCCTCCCGTAAGGGCTCGCATGCTCCATCTGAGAATGTAGCTCTCAGGCCAGCGTTCAGCCAGGAGTCAGGAATGACAGCCACATCCTGGGGCAGCAGCTGTGGGAGTCGAGTTGACCCTCACCTTCCTTTGCAGCTGTCTCCCCATCCTCTGCCAGGCTCCTGGTGGGCAGGGCCAGCTGCCCTGATTCATTCCAGCCCCAGATATAGATATCCCCAGTCTCTGAAAGAGATCAAGGGGACACATCAACAGACTGGGAACCCCCTGCATCCATCCAAACTCCCCTCCCCATCCCGTCCCGTCCACTCCTGGGGACATCCAAAGCCAGCCTGCCCAGGGTAGCGCTCCAGGCCAAGGTGCTTCCCCTCTGGCCCCAGGGGCTTGTCTTAGGTTCCCGTCCCCTCAGTGCCTTCAGGTCACCCTTAAAGTCCCTCACTGAACTTTCCATTTTCAATCTTATGCTGCCAAATTGCCCCTCATTTCAGAGATGTGTCCCTGGAAGTGCCCCAATGGTCTCCCTTTCAAAACCACTGGGCTGGGGCCAGGGGTGGTGGCTCATGCCCGTAATCCTAGCACTTTGGGAGGCTGAGGTGGGTGAATCACTTGAGCTCAGGACTTTGAGGCTAGCTTCAGCAACACGGTGAAACCCCTGTCTCTAAATAAATAAACAAAAGCACCCCTGGGCCGGCTCGTGCCCTTTTGCTCTCACCCAGGGCAGGTCCTGTAGAAAGCCACGTGCAGCTCGCGCCTCCGCAGCCGCACTCACCATAGCTTTTTGGTTGGAACAGCCACTTAACGCCAAACATCTCTAACAGCAGCAGCTGATTTGATGAAGCGCAAAATCCATGCTGATGTTTTATGTGCTGTTCAAATATAATCACTTAATTGGCACAACAGCCCTACACGACGGTATCGCCACTTACGCAGCATCCCTATTTTACCCACGAGACAACTGAGGCACAGAGTGGTCACAGACCAGGCCCAAGGTCCCAGGACCTGAGCAATGATCTGAAACTAAGAAGCCTGGCTGGATGTGCCCATGCTTCAACCTCTACACCCACCTTAAGGCCTCAAATTCCTTCTAGACCGTGAGTGTGAGGCATCCCACTGGGCTATTTCCAGCCCTCTGGTCTCTTCTCTCCAGCCCAGTTCTTTTTTTGAGACACAGTCTCGCTCTGTCACCTAGGCTGGAGTGCAGTGGCATGACCTTGGCTCACTGCAACCTCTGCTTCACGGCTCAAGCGATCGTCCAACCTCAGCCACCCAAATAGCTGAGACCACAGGCACGAGCCACCATGCCCAGCTCATTTGTAAATTTTTTGTCGAGACAAGATTTCACCACGTTGGCTCAGCTCAGGGTTGGCAACCAGCCCAGGCCCATTCCATGAGAATATGGTGGGACGGAAGGCATTGCTAAGTTTGTTTTGTTTGGGACGGAGTCTCGCTCTGTCACCCAGGCTGAAGTGCAGTGGCATGATCTCGGCTCACTGCAACCTCCGCCTCCCAGGTTCAAGCGATTCTCCTGCCTCAGCCTCCTGAGTAGCTGGGATTACAGGCACCTGTCACCATGCCTGGCTAATTTTTGTATTTTTAGTAGAGACAGGGTTACACCACGTTGGCCAGGATGGTCTCGATCTCCTGACCTCGAGATCCACCCGCCTCAGCCTCCCAAAGTGCTGGGATTCCAGGCGTGAGGCGCCGCGCCCGGCAGCACTGGTAGTGTCTTAAGCCACCCGGTGATCTAAGTAGCAGCCAAAAGGAGGGTCCTAGACACAGGCAAAGCTCACCTGCTCTCAGCCTCGCCCTCTCTGTATGCGCTCTAACAGCCGAGGAGGGAGTGGCACTTGGATCACCAAGCGGCCCTCCTCACTCTGGCCAGTGTGGCACCATCACAGGGTCACACCCCGCAGCATCCTGGGGCCTGGTGGGCACCCAGCGTCTACTCTGTGCCGCACATCATGGCCCCCAAGGCACCTGCAGCCTTTCTCCGCTCTCCTTGGCTCGGCTGCCCCCTCAACCCCATACACTCTTGGCAGCACTGTAGAAAGAGTTCTGGCTGGGTGCAGGTGGGGATGGGAGGGGCAGTGAGACCAGTGTCAGAGAAGCTAGGAACACATGCCAGAGCACAGGTATGAGTGAGCGATGGTGGAGGCGGTGGAGGCTGAGGGTGAGGGGTATTAAGGAATCATAACTGACTGGGCGATGCGATAGACGGATGAGTGTGGGAGGAGGCCTGCCACCCACCCAAACTGGAAAACAGGAGGAAGGTTTGCACAAAATCACAAGCTCGTCTGGAGAAGCACTGTCACTCACCACTCACACACACAGAATGCCAGCCCCCCGCGGCCACCTCAGCCATGGCTAGGCCCTGCAACGCCTCCAAGGGCCTTGGCTCCAGCTCTGCCTCCAGGGTCCCATGGCCCAGCTGTCCATGCCTGAGCAAGGGAGACCCGCGTCAGCTACAGTCACATTACGGGGTCCCCCTGCGCTTGCTTCTCCAGTCACCAACCCTCACCTGCCCCCGCCCCCACTCACCTGCCCCCGCCCCAGGAGAACACCTGGCCCGCAGTGTCCAGCAGCAATGCGTGCTCGGCGCCCAGCTTCAGCTGGCGCACCCGCAGCTCCGGAGCCAGAGGCCGGTAGAAGGGCGGCCGGGGGCTCACATAGGCACGGGCGCAGGGCAGCAGGGGCAGCCTCCCAGCCTGGGCCTCACCGCCGGGATCGTCTTCCCCTTGGGCCTCCAGCACCACATTCTGGGTCCACAAGGGCTCCCCACGCAGGGCCGAGCCGGGCGCCCAGGCCTGCAGTAACGCCCCCAACCCGGGCCGGGCGTGCAGCACCACGAGGAGACCCTCTGAGGCCCACGCGTCCCTGCAGCCTCCCGCTGCGCCGCTGGCTGAGCCAGAGAGCTCCAGGCGGCCTCCACCTGCGGACCGAAGAGCAGGCTGGGGAGGGGAAGGGATATATCCTGGGGACCTAGAACTGGGGGCGGCGCTGGGGGCTGGTCTAGATTGGAACAGGGTCTAAGACAGAATGGAGGCGGGAATGGGGACCAAATCAGAACGTGGGGCTGGCGGCCTGAAAGGGAGAAACACCCTGAAATGGCCGCAGTGGTGCGGGGATGGGGCGGGGAGTGCTCACGGGTCACGAAGGCGGTGTAGCTCCAGCCTGCGGTCACGTGGCCGATGTCGACGCCTGCCTGCAGCGGCTCGGGGTTGTGCACCTGGCACCCGCGTCCGGAGCCCGGCACCTGCCCAAAGCCGCAGAAACCGAAGCCGAACCAGGTCCCCGGCGGCTCCTCCGCCATGTCCCGGCAGCGCCTTCTGCCGGCCGCCACCTGGTTGCGGCGGACCCCCTAGTGGCCCGCTGGCTAGTCTCTGGCCTTCCAGGGGCTGGAGCTGCCTTATCTGTAAAATGGGGAAACTGTCATTCTGACTACAAAGGCAGATGATGTCCATGCCTCCAAGGTTCGCTGAGCCGGCGCCTTAGCTAATGCTCTACAGGATTTACAAAGATTCTCAAATATCCAGTGGGGCACTTCCCTGTGCTCCCTTTTGGCTCAAGCACAGCGTGCCACAAAGTGGGTACAAAGTGGGTGCCCTTTAGGCACTAGACTAGGATCCGGGCGCCCCCGACACTCCCACCCCGTCCCGCAGCTTCCCAGCATCTGGCACTTTATCCCATGTAATCTTGGGAACCAAAATTGTCCTGTTTTACAGAGGAGATTCCCAGAGAAAGTAACCCTTACACAATCGTACAGCTAGACAGAGAGGGGCAGAGGGCTGAAATCAGGTCCCGCCAACTCCGCACACGGCGCTCTGCTCCCCACCCCACAGTGGAACGCAGACGCGCGAGTGGGAGGCAGTGCCCTGCACAGTTACCAACGCCTCGCGGTGCCTTGTGACCTTAGCCAATTAACCCGAGTCCAACCGCATTTTTTCAGTTTACAAAGGGAGGTGAGGGCGGTGGTGTTTGAACCTACCTTTTAGAATTGCTTGTAATAAATGCAAATAAAAGGTTTGGTGCGAGTACATAACACCATGATAAACACAGTATTAGCTTACTGAGTCCAGTATTTAACGTTGACAAAAAATTATCCCTGGATATCTTATTGGTTTTGAGAAACTTACAGTCACAATTTCAACTGTACCTTATCTAGTCACTTATTCGTCCCGCAAGCATTTACTGAGCGATCCTCCTCTGGGCCAGTGAGGGCAGCTGTCTGCTCCGAAGGAGCTAACCCTTAAATGGGGAGAGAAACGCAATCTGGTGGTTCCATCAGCAACGCCACTTCAAGCAGGTTCGGCTGGAGCAGACTTTTTCCTATTATTATTATTATTATTTTTTTTTTTTTTTTT